GTCGACGTCGTCGGCGCCGTCGCCGTCGCCGTCTCCGGCCGTGCTGTTGCAGATGGCCTGCGACCGGTCATCTCGGCCGCGTCCTCTTTTGCGTCTTCGGCGAGGGCCAATTCGTTTGTGGGTGGTTCGGCCTCCGAGGTCTGGCTCCCAAGCTTCGAGAAAGGGGATCGACTACAGAATTGATTTACCCCAAACTTGATCCCCCGTCGAATTTACAACCAAACATACTCCGTATATAGATCGATTGAACATTCTACGTATTTCCAGCAGATTCGACGGATCACAGTTTTTTGGTATGAAAGAATTCTGTAGTCGATCCCTTACTCGAAAGCCGCTTGCCCCAGGGGCAAACTTCCTGGCCCGATGAGACCTTGACTTCCCGGATCTTGTCAGGTGGTGCGGGAGAGTGACCCTTCGCCAGAGTGACCTTGGGCCTTGGGTGCGGGCCCGCTGGGTCCCCCCGACCGCCGAGCGCGATGCGGCAGTCTGCCGCGCTTGTGCTCGGCCCTCCGCGGCCCCCGAAAAGCCGCGCACCACAGGTCACTTGCCCAGAGCCAACTTTGCGTGTACTTAGCCGTGGAGAGACCCGGGCTGTCTGTCCAGTAGCTGCCGGGGAGGCAGCCCGGGTATTGTGTTTTGGTCGCGCTGCCCGACTCGGGACCAGAGCACGGCCTGTTTGGGGGCCGATGCGATTGGCCTTTGCGAGTTCAATGGTGTGCCAGCGAGCTGTGAAATTGTCGTGAGTATTTCGAGTAGGGCATCGGCACCATAGTTCATTAACCCCAATTTGTTTCGTCGAGTCATTCGAATCTACCAGAAGTTCGTAGTATGATCAACGGGGCATTTTACCTAACAGCGAAGACTGATAGGTTTCTAGTGGTGTCAAAAGAGAGCATCTGATGACTCAGAAGGGAGGTCTGGGCGGCATCCGGACAGCGAGGGCCGGGCTCAGGGCCGGGCTCGTTTTAAGCAAACAGTCACACACTTCGTGCTCTTCGACCTCCCAGAACTCCATTCCCGGGCCACATTTTGAATGCCCGGAGCCAACTGTAGGCCACTTCGTGCTCTTCGACTTCCCAGAACTCCATTCCCGGGCCACATTTTCAATGCCCGGAGCCAACTGTAGGCCACTTCGTGCTCTTCGATATCCCAGAACTCCATTCCCGGGCCACATTTTCAATGCCCGGAGCCAACTGTAGGCCACTTCGTGCTCTTGGACTTCCCAGAACACAACACCATTCCCGGGCCACATTTTCAATGCCCGGAGCCAACTGTAGGCCACTTCGTGTTCTTCGAGTTCCCAGAACTCCTTCCTGGGCCACATTTTGAATGCCGAGGCAGGCTGAGGCTGAGGCTGAGGCAGGCTGAGGCTGAGGCAGGCTGAGGCTGAGGCCGAGGCTGAAGGCAGACTGAGGCTGAGGCTGAAGCAGCTGAGGCTGAGGCTGAGGCTGAGGCTGAGGCTGAGGCTGAGGCTGAGGCTGAGGCTGAGGCTGAGGCTGAGGCAGGCTGAGGCTGAGCTGAGGCTGAGCAGGCTGAGGCTGAGGCTGAGGCTGAGGCTGAGGCTGAGCAGGCTGATGCTGAGGCTGAGGCTGAGGCTGATGCAGGCTGAGGCTGAGGCAGGCTGAGGCTGAGGCTGAGGCTGAGGGCTGAGACAGGCTGAGGCTGAGGCTGAGGCAGGCTGAGGCTGAGGCAGGCTGAGGCAGGCTGAGGCTGAGGCTGAGGCTGAGGCTGAGGCTGAGGCTGAGGCAGACTGAGGCTGAGGCTGAGGCTGAGGCTGAGGAAGGCTGAGGCTGAGGCTGAGGCTGAGGCTGAGGCTGAGGCTGAGGCTGAGGCTGAGGCTGAGGCAGGCTGAGGCTGAGGCAGGCTGAGGCTGAGGCTGAGGCTGCAGGCTGAGGCTGAGGCAGGCTGAGGCTGAGGCCGAGGCTGAAGGCAGACTGAGGCTGAGGCTGAAGCAGGCTGAGGCTGAGGCTGAGGCAGGCTGAGGCTGAGGCTGAGGCTGAGGGCTGAGGCTGAGGCTGAGGCTGAGGCTGAGGCTGAGGCTGAGGCTGAGGCTGAGGCTGAGGCTGAGGCTGAGGCTGAGGCTGAGGCAGGCTGAGGCTGAGGCTGAGGCTGAGGCTGAGGCTGAGGCTGAGGCTGAGGCTGAGGCTGAGGCTGAGGCTGAGGCTGAGGCTGAGGCTGAGGCTGAGGCTGAGGCTGAGGCCGAGGCTGAAGGCAGACTGAGGCTGAGGCTGAAGCAGGCTGAGGCTGAGGCTGAGGCAGGCTGAGGCTGAGGCTGAGGCAGGCTGATGCTGAGGCAGGCTGAGGCTGAGGCTGAGGCTGATGCAGGCTGAGGCTGAGGCAGGCTGAGGCTGAGGCCGAGGCTGAAGGCAGACTGAGGCTGAGGCTGAAGCAGGCTGAGGCTGAGGCTGAGGCAGGCTGAGGCTGAGGCTGAGGCAGGCTGATGCTGAGGCAGGCTGAGGCTGAGGCTGTGACTGCGACTGCCGTTGCCACTGCGACTGTCATCGCGAATGTGACTGCGACTGCGAGAGCAGCAGAATTCTACAGCTGGATTATCATCTGAATCTTAAGGGGAATGCTTCCAGATATGCTCCTACACATCGCTGTTAGGTTGCTTTGCCGGGATAATTTTGCTACAGAGAGTTCATTTCTAATTCGGTGTAATTGCAATTCCAGTCTGGGGCCTTGAGCGGGTCTCATTTGTAATTCGCCGGAGAAATTAGAAATGAGCAGCGCTCAAAGGTTGAACTCCTCGGTCGGCGTTTCACGCGCGGGTGATGCGATGGGCAGGATGACGACGACAGCAACGCCAACGATGATAATGACCCAGCGTTGGTCAGGTAAATCAATTATATAGTCGATCCCCGATCCCCCTATCCGAATCTCAGCATCCAGCCAAGATGCAGTACGTTGCAATGTGTACAGGCCTCAAACCTCAAATACTAATCGTGGGGGTCCAGAAGTCGGCCGCCACGTTCTGAAAAAGTCATGGCGCTGGATGTGTGGGACCGCGAGACCCTGGCCTCCTCGTCCTCATCTTGTGAATCGGGGCCGCTGTTGGTGCAGACTGCTAGCCGCGCTGGCATGTGTGCCATCTGCTCGTGGCGTGGGAGGATGATTGAGGATATAGTTTTCGGACGTGTTCGGATATGTTTGGACTTCAGAGGCCTCTGGGGACCTTCGTGGACCTCCCGAGACGCCTGGGGGGAGGGTACGCGATGGGCATTTGGCGTTCTGCAAGGGGGGGCGATGTAGTGGGGGGGGGTCCGTAGAGGTGCACCTTTCCGCCCCTTTCGGGGCCGCGTTCCCCTCTCAGGGAGGAGGGAGGAGGACAGGAGAAGGAGGAGGAGGAGGAGGAGGACGAGGAGGAGCCTCTTTTTCAACTCCCCCCAGGATAACGGGCGTAATCGGGGAGGAGGGGGAGTGGGCCGGCAGCATCACGGTTTGCCCCCCAGCGGGATTTGGGAATGCTCAGGAATAGTTCAGGACAGTTGGGATCAGCAAAGGGCGCCAGCGCGAACACGTATGCTACCGAGGTGGAGGGGGTGAGGGTGGGTGGGGGGGTCGCGGCCGATACCGGCCGTTATCTCAGGGGATGTAAGATGGGCTCGAGGAGGATGAGGCGCACGCCAACCTCGGATCCGTGGATCTGGCGCGTGGGCGCCAGATCCACGGATCGGGCAAAGTACCCCCCGAACTATGAGGCCATTGCCGCCCGACGCGGCGGCGGAGTGCTCCGATGTTACTGGCGAGGGAGCGGGGCCTGTGGCCAAGCCGCGCCCCTCAGTCCACGATTGCGTTTCCTCGAGTGGAGGAGGAGGCACGATCGTGTATGCACACGCCTTGCATGACGGAGCTCGACCCGCGACGGATCGCTCGGGTGCGATGCCGTGTGCGGCCACCCCGCGGCTGGTCCGCCACCAGGACGGCAGGCCTACGGCGTGAGCGACGGGCAGGACCCCCCGGGGAACGCTCGAGGAGGAATGTTGCCCCTGAGATGAGGAGGAGGAGGAGGAGGAGGAGGAAGAGGAGGAGGAGGAGGAGTATGAGGAGGAGGAGGCGCGCACCACCTGGCGCGACTGAGGAAGTACAAATCACCAAAATCATTGGTCTGGCGGCATTGCTGTTTTTCGGTTTGGTCCTCCCGAAACCACTCAGTTTGGGAGGTAGGTTTTCTAGCTAAATCGAAAGTTTGGTTGTCAGGTTTTCCAAAAAAGCAGGGAGGGAAGGAGGAGGAGCAGGAGGATTAGGAGGAGGAGGAGGAGGCGGAGGAGGGAGGGAGGGAGGAGGGAGGAGGGAGGAGGGAGGGAGGGAGGAGGAGGGAGGAGGAGGAGGAGGAGGAGCGGCCCATCGTGCGCTCGTTCGTCGAGTCGACTCGGTGCTGACAGAGTCTGTCCGTGGAGCCTGGAGGCTCAAGTCAGCGGCGCCCGCGGCGTGATTCAGAGCTGCGCGGCAGCGCTTGGAGTCAGGCGCTGAGGGCGTTGGAAGGGGGCCCTCCCTCTTCCTCCTCCTCGTCCTCCTCCTCCTCCTCCTCCCTCCTCCTCCTCCCTCCTCCTCCTCCTTCTCCTCCCTCCTCCCTTCTCCTCCTCCTCCTCCTCCTCCTCCTTCCTCCTCCTCCTCCACTATTGAGAAACTAAGAGCTCATCATAACGTTAAAGATAAAGGCGCAAAAACGAAGAGGTAATCAGAAACACGAAACACCCACCATCATCTGTAGCCGTTTTGGCTCAAGCCGTTTTGGCTGATGCAGAAGGATTCAGCAGCTGTCGATGATATCATCAGAGTGCTTTCCGAGAGCGGCGTTTCTGCAGATGACTGGTTGCCGTACAGAGTGTTGGCGCATGTAGTGATTGCTGTTCTTGGTTTAGATGCGGTTCGAAGGGAGGATGTATCGCAGTGGAGTAGGAAGATCAAGGCATTTGTTCAGACAGGCGCAAACGACACGTATCCTGCCAATGAGGTTTCTTGTTGTTTTGATTTCTTGCCCGACGTTGTGAACCAATATGCGGGTACTCTTCTGGACGAGGCAGACTTGAACAACATACTGGTTGGGTTGGGTTCCAAGCGGAAGCGGAGAAGGAGCTCACAGGCATCTTCTGCAGCTGATGCGTCGCCACGTCCTGTCGAGGACCAGCCCGCGTCGTCTTTGGTTTCTGCTACACAGGCGCAGCTGGCTCAACGATTGGCTACTTTGGACGGTATTTCTGTTGACAACTTGAAGCTCCAGATTGTCAGGCTTGAGCATGTGAATGAGGAGAAGAACGCTAGTCTTATCAAAGCAAATAAGTTGAACAAGCAGCTCAGGGACAAGAACGAGACGCTGGCGGTGGACTTGCTCGTTTCAGATCTGAGTTGGCCAACATCAAATCGAAGTCTAACTTGAGACCGGATCGGAAAGTCACGGTGTGGGGTGCGTGTTCACTTGCACTTCGCAGAAACATGTCTCATGCTTCCGCTTTGACAGTGTCTGTGATGATTGCTGGCTACGGGGAGCACGGAGGTGTTCATGATGGTCGTGCGTGCATGTTGGCAGAGCATCGGGCACCTTATGCATTAACATTTCGCTCGAAGGACCACTTCGACCAATCGATCACGCAGAGCTTCCAGTCTATTGCCATCAAGATGGATGCCACGTCGCAGGAGATTGTAGACAGGGAGAAGCTGCACGTGGCGCTGGTGCGATCTATATCTTTCGGCTTGGGTGATGTGCGCTCGTCTTATCACAGCGACAGCGGTCGTTTTGTCCTCGGCAATTTGGAGTCCAGAACGGCTAGGCAGAAAATCTGCAGCGATTTGATGGAGGTTGCCAGGGGGACTTCAGCAGAGCTGTACGTGTTGGTTGAGAAAGAGTTGGAGCGCATCGGGTGCAGTACTTGGACATCTCCATCTGGTCGCGGTGGTGGCGACGCTGGCGCTCAGATATCGTTATTCTCTTGGTCGGTGGATGCTGGTTCTGAGAACGGAAGTTGCTTGGAGAGGGCTGCGCGGGATTTGGTTGATACGCCCAACGCGATGCTGACTGCTGTTTATTGCATGATGCACCAGGGCCATTTGATCGCCAAGCATTTGGTCGAAGTCCTTGAGAAGTGGGATTGTTTTGAAGATGGCTGCGGTGTAACTGAAGAGGCGACTGGCTTGACATGCTTTAGGGTTAAGTATTTTTCTAGTTTATCTGCATTCTCAAACTACTGGAGGGGAGTTGGCCGCCACAAGCTGATCGAGAAGGCTGTTCAGGCCGAGTACGAGCGCGATGGCGGGCACAGGGGGATTCAGATGAGGTTCTTCAATACGATCCCTGGCAGGTGTTTGCGTGGGAGATGGTTGTCTTTGGAGTCAGTCGAGGAAATGCTGGTCCGTGCTGCAGCTTACTTGCCGAGAGTTTTCAAGGCCTTGGGCATTCTCACATCCAACAGCAAGACAGCGAAGGCATCTGGTCCAGGCGCGGAAGAGGCAAACGATTGGGCTGAGAAGCAACGGTCGTGGCGGCTGCACGTTGTGAACCTTGGCCAGAATCCTCTGCGGTTGGCAACAATGCGCATCAGTTTGATCACGAAGGGCCCGATCGCGCACTTCTTGAGGTGGATCGAGAAGGCGAACCGCGACTACAATGACAATGTGCGCGAGCGCAGTGGCTACTTAGGGCCTACTCCGCCGTCTCAGTTAGTTTCCGAGGGCGGCGCCGACATCAGGGCCAGCATGAGCTTACTGCCTCGCTCGCCGCATTTGTTCGACGAGGTGTTCATCGGGCTTCCTGACCGCATCCGCGCGCGATGCAGGCTTCTAGTGGTGGCAATGGTGCTTGCAAGTCTTGCTTCTTGGGATTTCAGAGTCGGCTGTGAACTTCAATCGTTCCCTCTTCTGTTGCTTCGAATGCTGGAGTCGGGCCCAGATGTCAGGGATGACACGCGCGCGGCCGTGGCCGCCGCGTTTTTGGGCAAGTCTGCAGAAGAGCCCAAGGCGATCGAGGCGAGCGACGTGCAGTGGAAGAACAGGGTGCTCTTCAGGGCGGAGCTCGATAGTGTGGCAGAGTATGATACTTGCCTCGACAACCTCTACGGCTTTCTGTTGGCTTGGAGGTCTGGCCTTGACACAGACACCCAAGAGGCCGAGGGCATCAACGGCGTGCTTCAAGCCATGGGCCGCGCAGCCAATCACCTCGAGCGGGCGTTGTGCTCAGACTGGCTTCGCGTGAAGAAATCGGACCGCATCAGCCCCGACGAGTGCGTGATTTGGCACAAAGCCGCGATGAAGCACATGAACATGCCAGAGCACTTGAATCGGTTTGCAGTCGTCAATCGGGATGTGACGCCCGGGCATACATTCGAGACGTACTATGAGGACGTGCACTTGGCTGCTCGGGCGGCTCAGTTCCAGCTCGGCATGGCCAGGCGGATCGACGTGGATGTTGGTGTCGTGTGGTTTTTTGTGCGGGTGACGGCTGCCAACGCTTGTGCTGGATATTTCGTGTGCTGGTCGTACTATCGGAACCAGTTTGCGGCGGTCGCTTCGATCGAGACTATAGGCCAGTCGCGTGAAGACTTGGGGGCGCGGGAGGTTCGTGCCCCGTCAGCCTCAGAAGCAAGCTTGAGGCGGTGGCGGGAGGGAGGCTCGAAGCTTCTGAGGCTGGTGTGGCGCGGGCCACTCCGCCTCCAATGTCGTCGCGCGACCCTTAGGCGGCGTCGGCGGCGTTTCGTTTGCCACGTTGGGCGAAGAGGTAACTATCGTTGACATGAGGAAGTGTATGTGTGACATCTTGCGTCCGGAGCACAATTGGGGCACCCTGAAGAGGATTGACATCTACCGAACGCCAGTGAAGTGGCCCACTCTACACAGAGCAACGTTGGATCTCACGAAGCAAGAAGGCGTTCGCATACAACGAGCTCCAAGGAAGAAATCACGTAAAGTGGCTGCTGGCCCCCCCGCAGATGGCCCAGCGCCGATTGGCGGGCTCGGGGGCGACGACGGTTCGGACGACGACGACGACATGTCCTTCGCCGAGTTCCTGGAGATGCTGATTGAGGAGGACCGCGGCCATGCCGATGATGACGCTGTGGCAGTCGATGCTGATCGTGCCGATCGTGCTGCCGACGATGCGCATCCTGCAGACCGCGACGAGGATGAGCTTGAGCGCCGCGACGACGTTGGTGGCGACGATGGCAACTTGCGGGCACTTGAATTCGTTCATGACGCAGCCGTCTTCATTGAGGCCATGCGGAGCACGAACTACGACGAGCTCAGTGCGTCGGTCGCCCGCTGTTTGCCAGGTGACGCGATCTCGATCAACGGCATCAGCCTGATCGAGTATGACAGCGTGGTGATGTTAGTGCGCTGGACTTCTGCCGCGGGGCGGAAAGGTCGCCGACTTCTGCTGGGCGAGCACGGTCGGATCAAGGCTATGTTTTTCGCAGCAGCTGCCGTTGAGGAGTTCGAGGCGGCGCGCGTTATCATATCGAACATTGGTGCAGAGTATGTCAAAACGGCAGTGCCTGCAGATCGTGGCCAGATGCTCAGTGGCGCCTTGTCATGCAGCTGTCAGAGAATGTCAAAGCTCACAACGGGCCGTTTGACGTGGATGCGATGCCGCTGTTCAGGAACACCTGCGCTGTGTGCGACGTCGCCCGTGGTCACTTCGAGGGCAGCTACCCAGCTCCACCAGCGCTTGGCGAGATGTTTCTTGGCGTCTCGTGTCTGACGCCATACCATGAGACTTGTTCTGAGTCGTTCGGCACGAGGGTGAATAACGAGAACACAGTGTGCAGCTTCTGCAAAGCAGCAGCGTAAAAAATGCAAAAAACAATCCATCAACACCAGCATCAGAGAGTAGGTGTGCCTGATTCCGACAACCACCTGAAGCCCTCGTCTTGGTCTGATTCCTAAGCGCATAGGAATATGGACTGCGCGATTCCTACGCACATAGGAAGCGGGCATGTCGGATTCCTACGAACATAGGAATCCGACGTGCCCGATTCCGATGCGCATAGAAATCGGGCATGTCGGATTCCTACGCACATAGGAATCGGGCAGGATCCCTATGGTCATAGGAATATGGCAGGGTCGGATTCCTACGTGCGTAGGAATCCGGCAGGGTCGGATTCCTACGCGCGTAGGAATCGGGCAGGGTCGGATTCTTACGCGGGTAGGAATCTCGCCTGTCCGATTCCGACGCGCGCTGGAATCTGGCACGCCCGATTCGGACGCGCTCAGGCTTCCAGCCGGCCAGAATTTGAACACCAGGGGGGGGGGCGCCTCGCAGGCATCACGCCGCTGGTGCCCAGGGACTCCCCCAGCAGCTCGCTGGACAGCGAGTACGAGCACATTTCGGACAGATTTTTCTCATTCTCCTTCTCTTCATTATCTTCCTCTTCCGATCTCCTGCCTCCTCCTCCCCCTCCTCCTCCACTTCCCTCTCCTCCTCCTCCGCCTCCTCCTCCTCCTCCCATAGCCCCCATCGCTTCGTCGTCGTCCTCCTCCTCCTCCTCCCGCCACCTCCTCCTCCTCCTCCTCCTCCTCCTCCTCCCCCTTCGTGCTCTCCTCCGCGTTCCCCCTATCCGGGAGGAGCGGCTGGGCCCCAAGTTGGACGTCGAGTACTTTGAGTGGGCGAACGAACACTTCCTCATCAGCGACGACTACCACCTGTCCTTGCTGAGGTCGGCAGGGGCTTTCGCAGTGGAGCGACACTCGGAGGACAAAGAGGGCAGGGGCTCCAAGGCCAGCGTGACGGAGTTGGCGAAGTCGGTGTGGGCCAAGGGAATTCGACAGGAGATGGGGGGTCCGCCCTGGCTGGTGCAGTCGGCGTCTGTAGGCGACGACGAGACGTTCACGGCCCTGCACTGGGGGGCGTTGTTGACGGCGACTAAGGATTGCATGCTGAGGGACGTGGACAAGACCAACGCCAGGGTTCAGGATTCGCTCAAGAAGAAGATCAAGGGCTGCAGGCTGTATTCTCGCCGCATCAGCAAGGGCGCGGCCAGGTCTCTCGCGTGCTACGGCAACGGCCTCAATGAAGCGGCGACGCCGACGACGAGCATCCAGGTCTACGGTTACACATCCGACGTCCAGACGAGCTTCGGTTCGAGGAAAGCAGCCATGAAGTGGACGAATGCAAGCATAGGGGCCGCTGCGATGAAAGAAGAAAAGTTGAAGGTCGCCCACCAGGTCTACCCGCTCTACTGGAAGGACGCGACTGCGCTCGAGAGGTGCCCGGTCATGTACAAGGACAGCCAGAAGATCATGATTGACGTCGGCGAGTACAAGGGAGAATTGTATGGGACGTGATCGCCAGGAGGTTCAGGTACGAGGTTGCTGCAAACAAGATGCCGTCCACCTCGTTCGACCGCGTCTTTCACTGCGCAGCCGACGTCGTCAGGATTCTCAAGGACGACCACCCTGAGTACATCCCAGACTTGGTGCTCCTCTGCATGCCGCGGCTGCTGGGCAACTGGGGTGCTTGCCCTATGTTGCCCGACGGCCTCCCGATCTTCAAGTCGACCGACGTGAAGGCGATTGCAGGCTTGCTGAATCCGCTGCCAGCCGACGACGACACTTCCCAGCCGAAGCCCGTAGCACCGAACCCGATGAAGAGGGCCAAGAAGACCGTCGACCCCCGCCAGCAGCGCAAGAGAAGGAAGGTGTCGGCGTCGGTGGAGGTTCTTGGCCAAGACGAACGCTGCGAAGAACAGATCGTGGAGCAGGGCGAGAAGGAGGCGATGGCGGCTGCCAGGGCCAAGTCGTTCTTGAGTTACCTGACCGAGGTGTGCAAGCCCCTGGCGAGAATCGACGAAACGCAGCTTCATCTCGTCGGCGGCTTCAAGGCCATCGCACTGCATGGCGCGCTTTTTGGCAGCGTGAAGCTGCGGGTGAAGGGAGGCAACTACAAGACGGTCAAGGGCCCCGAGGGCTTGCATGCTGCTTTCATCACGCACATGACCAAGCGTGCCCTCGCCCCTCGCTACTCCGACCCGATGACCGACAGCTGTGCCGAGGAAGCCGCTGATGTTGATGGAGGTTTTGTCATGACCGAAGAGGACGTGGCCCTCGGAATCGACGAGAACAAGCAGACCGTCGAGCAGATAGTCAACCACCTGTTCACGGACGCGTGCATCACCAAGCCGATGGCTGCCAACCTCTCAGCGGCGAGCGCTTTGAACCAAGTGATGATGGCGAGCTTTAAGATCCAGGCTGATCAGGGTGGCAGCTTTGCAGCTGGCGGTGATGACGTGCAGCTCAAATTCTTCGACATCGTTATCGAGTCCGTGCTCGACAAGTACCCCGACTCCTGGGACGCGGTTGCAACGTGCATCGCCAAGGCGAAGCCTCAGTTCTCGGCCTGCCTCAAGGAGACGGCGACTACTTCTCGAGCAACTCGCATGCGTGGCACTTGATGGTTGGGCGAAGTTGGCTGGCTAGTCTGGTCGCCTTCGCCTGAACACCAAGTGCCGCAGTTGGCGAGTTTGTCGGGCAGTCGTTGCCCTTAGGAGTCGGTCTGCAAGGAGTTCGTCGATGGTGAGCTGGAGTGTTTCTCTTCTCGCGTGGTCTCAGCGATGCGCATCAAGGTGCGCTTGCGCGTGTGCTCGTCGCTCGCCATGCAGATGTACATGGGGAAGGGCGCCGGCGGCAAGATCGTTCCGAAGAGGTTCTCCCCTGAGGTGTTCTCGGACGCTTGCTCGGACCTTGTGGCCATGATAGATACCAAGAACTTGAATGGTGACATTACTGGTATGATCGACGCTGCGCCATCGTGGCAGGAGGCGGCGAGCAGCATCGCCCATGCTCTCTTCGAGGCCAACACGTTGATCGAGACGCACAGCCCGAAGCAGTTTGAGGAGATGCAGCAGAAGTTGAAGGAGGGCCTAACATCAGCATCGAACCTCAAGACTGCTTGGCCGAAGCTCCTGCACTCGTACAAGATCAAGCTCGACAAGCCCGTGGACTACCAGCAGATTACCATCCTACCAGCAGAGAAGAATGTTGCGGTGAACACCATCATGAACGCCTTCAACAAGGCACACAACAACGCCGTCGAAGCGTTGCACGTGTTGGAGAATACGACCGACTTGGCGATGACGAGTGTCTCGAACAAGTGCGTCAAGGATCCAGATGTTGCTGTTGGTGCCTGTGAGCTTCAACTTGCTACGAGTGGTCCTGCTGCTGCCTCCAAGGCCGGAGAGAACATCTACGAGTGGCTGAACCGCGTGATGATGAACGAGAAGGCGGACTTGAACAACACCGAGTTGCGCAAGAAGGAGATCCAGACTAAGTTGAACGCAGCCTTCGCAGAGATCGCAGGCAAGTACGGCGATTCCAAGGATGACGACTACATGCTCGTAGCCGAGGAGAAGAAGACCGCGGCTGGACTGTCCAAGAAGGTTAAGCTCGTGCGCAACCTCGACTACTTCAGCGCCAACGCAGACACGCGCGTTTGGCATCTGTGGGGCAAGGTTGTCGACGAGCATGTTGCCGGCAACGTCGGCAGGGCGAACCTAGTGGACCTCGGGCGCAGCGAAGGCGCTGGCCCTCGTTTCTTCTTGGGCGGCTCTGCGCGCCAGAACTTGAAGAAGAGCGACGCCTGCTTAGGGTTCCTGATTCGCCTTGTGCCTGCTCCGCCAGCCGACTCCTCCGCCAAGAAGAAGGCCAAAGCTAAGGCGGGCGTTCGCTCGCAGCTTCCCGTAGCTACTCACACGTTGCAATTTGAGGATCTGGAGATCACGTTGTCTTCAGGTGAAATCCTCACCTACAAGTCGGCACACCTGATGCCGTTGCATGCCGCGCCCAGCGGCGACCAGCAGCAGACGCCCTACCGCGAGGAGACAGCTCTCGACAAAGCTGAGCTGGAGAAGCCTCCAAAGGGGCCTTCTTCCTCGCATGCAGGCTTCTGTGCGAAGTAGGCCGGCGCCTCTTGGCGCTGCTTGGTCGACAACATTGTTCGGCCAAACCCAGCCCGACACAATGCCACACATCAACCAGCAGCAACATGAAAATCGAACATCACAACAGCTGACAATGTTTCGTTGGCGTTCGTCCCGTGGCATTGTGCTCAATGGGCTCCCGATCCGATGCCGCTTGTGGTTTGGGCGGCGGGGTCGGGTAATCGATGCAGTGCTGCAATGGGCAGCGCGCAAGTAGTCAGCAACGCCTCCTGTCCTCTCCTCCGCCTCCTGGCCCTATCTTCCAGACGATCAATTCACCCTCCTCCTCCTCCTCCTCCTCCGACCCCCGCCTCTGTGCAGCGTTCCGCGTGGCGGTGCATCACAGAAGACGTGCCGCTGGTGATCTAGAATGCGCCCTCGGAGAGCTCGACGAGACGGCCGCTCGCACTCGGCCGACCCAGTGCCAGCAGGAAACAACAGCTCAACGATTCGAGATTATCTTCCGCCACCCGTCCAAGCTTCCTTTGTTCGTCGTTGTGGTGCTCTCTTCTGATATTATCGAGCGCTCCCGCGCCGCTCCTCCCAGACAAATCAGTTAAACTAGGGGGGGGGGGGGGGGGGGTAAGATAAAAGTGATTGGCTGGCTGATGGTTTTATAGTTGGGATTCCGATGGAATTTGGGGCTCCAGTAAGCCCCAACAGAAAAACAGCAACGCTCGCAGGACATTGATTTCGTAGCATTTGCGCTTTCTCAGGCGCGACGGGAGATCCGAGGCGCGGGCAGCTACTATATGGAGCGCCCTCCAGGGGGAGGGGCTTGCCAGGGCCTGGGATGGAACGCGCGGCTTTGGTCAGAAAGGGGGGGGGGGGGGCGTCATTTTTTGCGGCGCCCGCCCCGACCAGGCGGCCGAGGCGGCGCCCGACGACCCCCCCCCCCACATTAAATCGGATCGGGTGGCTTCCCCGTGCGCCTGGGAGCCACGAGACGCGCACTTAATCTTGGTCGCCTGGGAACTCCGAGTCGACGGGTGCATGGAACGACCAAAACAGCGCTTCTCAAGCCCACGAAGCAGACCTCCTGGGAGGATGACGTGGGCTGAGCACAACGAACAAAAGGCCACTCGGCCAGCCTGCTCCATCTGGTGGCCCACGGACAGAAACCGAGCGGTGAGGGTTTCAGTCGGCGGCACCTGGGCCAGGTCAGGAACGGACCCCGGGGGCCGAGTAGCAAGCAGCCTCTAGCGCCGCAGGCGCCGAAGAAAAAGCCACCCCCTTCTCATCTCGCGTCGCGAACGCCCCCTGCGCCTGCCACGCCTGGAACGCGCTAGGCCCACAGTGGCGGCGGCTGCCAGAACGGAGCTGGGCGAGGGAGGAGGGGGTCTTGGCGTGCAGATTGCATTTCTTGCACCGCCACTCCCCTGAGGACGGGAAGTGGTGCAGATCGTGCTCGAGCAGCGCCAGCCCGCTCTCTCCTTCGCGCTCCCGCGCGCGCCGCAGCACGGGAGTCGGGGCCGAGAGCTCCTGGGCGCACGCGCCAATGCTCTGAGCAAATCTGGACACAAAATCGAAAGTCTGCCGTGTCTGTGTGATCACGGCACTCTGGACCTTCTCAAGCGTCATAGCAGCAGCGTGGGAGCCCGCTCCGATACGCGCAAAAAAGTCGGCCCAAATGTTCCCTACAAAGTTTTGCACCTCGACTTCGGATCCCGACGCGACCACAACATCCCAATCACGGCGAGCGGGGGTCCATTCGAACGACGGCCTGGGACCAGGGCGGTCATGCAACTGAAAGATCTGCCTCCAGACAGCGGCGTGACGCCCTCCGCTGGCCGCCAGGCCAGGGTCCCAAGACTGCCCCTCCAAGACCGCGCCCAGGTGGTCTGACACCGCATGCGCATTCAGGGGGCAGACTCTAAGCGCCTGGACAACCGCAAACCTCCCGGCCCGAGGCGCCGTCTGGGCGCCGCCAGGCACCCCCCCGAAGCAGGCCCGAATCGGGGGCCCCCGCGGGCCCAGCTCGACCACGGCCCACTCACGCTGCCTAAGTTCGGGGCTGCTGCTGCACAGCCCCGAACCGTCGGTATAGACACGCCGCCCCCATGGCGCTTCGGTCTCACCCCACGTGCACACAGGGAGCTTGTCAGGGGCGGGGTCAAGAGCGACGGGGTCGGGCGGGGGGCCATGCAAGGCCTCGAGAGAATCCCAGACCTGCACTCCCGCCTCGAACCGACCCGTGTCCCTGAGCTCAGACCTGCGCAAAATAATATCATCGGGGAGACAGTTGCCCTGGGACGCTGGATGATTCAACACAGCGTCACAGTCATATATCTGATGACCGAGAGAGCCTACAACATTCCTGCCGCACAACTTACACATGCTGCTGTCGCTCAGGCCAGCCTCATACTTTCTCTCTTGCGACCGCAAGGCGTTGCCTATCAAGCAGCGGAGAGCTGCGCGACGGGCATTGTCACGAATCTTGAGGACAGCTATTCGCACTCCTTGGAGCCACAGCCGCTCGGGCCCAGCCTGAGGGAGGTGGGGCAAAATCTTCCTAGCTTGCCACCTCTGGATCCCCGGCCGCAGCTGCGCCTTCACATCGAGCGGCGCGGTTCGCAACAAATCAAACGGACAGCCGTGGTCGTCCACCAGCACATGCGCAGCAGACGTCGACCAGCCGACACGGTGTAGGCTGAGAAGCACTGCACTAATTGGGCCGCGACATGACTTCCACGTCGGCCGCTCGAGGATTCGACCCTTGACGGCCATCCACGCTTTTTGGAGTCGGGCTAGCGAGAACCTCGAGTCCCAAATTACAGCTGCATAGCGTTGGACCAGCGGCGCCGTCGCGTCGAATATGGGGTCATAAGAGGGGTCAGGCTGAGTTGCAAGCCAGGCCGTCAAGGAACCAGACCGCTTGGCGCCCACTAAGGTTCCCGCCATGGTTCGGGGGGTCCCGAGGGTCGGATGAGCGAGCCCAGAGACCTCAGCCCCATGCGACCCAGCGGGCATGAGCCCAGTGCGCCACAAAAGACTCACGTTGCTGGACGCAGCTCGACGGAGGGAGGCCAACTTGTCCCGGCGCCGCAGCAACTTCTTGAGACGTAGCTGTTCTTGGGCCCCCACAGGCCTTCCAGAAAAAAAAACCTCATGGCCAAGGTTTCGCATATAGGCGTGGCTGCGGAGCTTCGCCAGACGAGCAGACGACGACAAGTTCGACGACACTCTCACCGCCGTAGCCACATACCCACTCTTGGCCGCTTGGAGGATTAAACCTAGCTTGAGGACCTGGCTGCAATACCATCTAACCGCGGCGAGTACAATCTCACAAAACTTAACAGCTTACCGACCCACTGAAAGCTGGAATCGCCCATGAGGACCCTGGGCCAGACCGTAGGGCATAGGGTCCTCATCTTAACGATCACACGGTGGATGAGCACATGCATCATAGTGATGGCGTGGCTACATCCAGCAAGGAATCCTTGATTGGTCACGACCTGCCGCGACACCGAACCGAA